TGTCACCACTTACTTGCTGAATCGTTGTCCTTCCTGCCCTCATGTCTCTCGCTGTGCTCTTCCATGTTCTCCCCATGTTAGTTTTGTAAGTTTGCTGCCTCGCCGGCCTTTTTGTTGTATCGTTTATTAAAATTTTTCATTTTGCTCAACCTGAAGTCTGCGACATCCACCTTGGATCTGATCCTGCACTTCACACTACACTGTAGCTCAGTTTCTGTAAAACTGAGAAGGCTCAAACTGCAGGTTTTGATATTCAATCCCCCCCCCCCCCTGTATTTTATTTGTTTATTTATTTTTGCTCAGATCTAAATTTTTCTGCATCATACGTTGGGTTTACAAAAGTAAATAAATATGATTGTTAGAAGGTTTTGATAGATTGAGGTCGTTCTAAAATCAAAACCATTTAAATAAATTATCTGCTTTGCTTGTTTCAAATAATGTTCACATGTGATCTTGCCTGTTCCCTGCTGCTCCATTGCAGAATGCCCTTTTGGAATGGGAGTTGCATATTAAAAACAGAGATGAGAAACAAACAAATGGATCAATCTCACCCTGGTACTGATATGATTCAATTCAAAATACTTTATTTATTCCAAAGGGAAATTACAGAATGATCCAACACGATGGTTCACCACTGTGAGCATCTTAAGTTGGTGTAAATTCTCACTTTTCCTGGACATGAAAGGGTGACCTCACATCCCCAATTTCTGGCGACAGGTTGTCCAAAACAGGGGCTGTCACTGAAAATGTCCCAGATTTCAGCATTTTATGAATATTTTTAAAAAATTCATATCATGTGTAGAAATCCTCCACAGATATACACATGTTTACTTAAAATATGGACTAAAAGCAGATCTTAGAATATTTTTTGAAAATTACAAAATGGTACACAAAGTACCTCTGTAATTACGTTTGCCACTAGATGGTGCGTCCAAAACTGACACCACCTTGCACACACATCTCTACAAATGAAGAAGGAATGGAGGAAAGAAAACTGGACAGATAAATCATGTTTCAGATGAAATGGGAGGTAGACTATCTCTGCATAGAACTTTAAGGCAAACCTTTGTGTTTGGTCTGCCATGAAGGACTTTAGTATAAGTCACCACTGCTACACGTTGCACAAAGCTAAATATGAGAAGTTTGCTGCACTTTAGCTTGCTAAAGAATTTTTTTGTGTGCTTCAAGCATTAGAAGTATATTAAATATACACCAACAAAACACAGGACCACACACCCAACATCTGTCCGCTCACCTGAAAAATAAATGGATAAATACATGGAGGGCATATATAAATACATACACATACCCATACATATACTGTATAAAGATATACATACAAACATGCCTACATTCATAAATATTGTCCGTATATACACACAGACATACACACTCACTGACCAGTCAGAACCCCCCGGATCAGAACACCTGTCTGTGAGCGGTTGTGAACATGCGTGTTTATACAAGATTTCTCCAATGGAATATTTAACAGTGACTGTGGAGGATCGGAGACCCAACCCCCAAGACACGAGGCAGACATAGGGAAGACCAGAGCCCAAGGGCCCGAGAGGGATCCCGAGCGCAGAGCCCCAAGGGGCACCCGCACGCTAAGATCCGCCCACCCACCCCCCAGATCAGACCATAGGGGAGAACTGGGAGAGTCGCCCCAGCGACCACACGCACAGCCCCSGGGGCCAGCAGCGACAAACTCATGGGCCCCACCAGCACCCGCCATACCAGAGCAGATCCAGGAAAGGGCACAGAGTTCCGGGCCCCCAGGGCACACCCATCCCTACCCCAGGCCAAAGCCCGACAGGTCCAGAGGTCCCAAGCCCCAGCAGGCAGTCACCAAGCCAGGCCGGCACACACCCCAGCGCCCAGCCCCAGACCCCGGGAACCCCCAGCACGCCGCCGGCCAGCTGCACACCCCAGCGGAGGGCCAAGTAGCAGCGGGCCCCCAGATAAACTAGCAGGAGGGGCAGCCCAGACAGCAGCCTGACAAATACCCAAACATACACATACACAATCGCACCATCCCACCCTCATCCTCACCCCCTCTCAATCAAAGACATACAAGGACGCCACATTCCACTCATACCCCCCGATACACACTCTATACCCCACAGGTCCAGGACATGCACCCACCCCCTATTGGAGGCAGCACACACCCGAACCCAGGAGGTAGACCCAATCATTCTGAGGTGGAGAGGAGCAGATAGCCAAGGACCAGGACGCACCAGGACGCCCGGCCAGCCCCCCGCCGCAGAGAAGCCACACCCATGACCACACCGCCAACGACCAAGTGCACCCCCCCAGCCGCCCATCCCCCGGAACCCGGCAGCCACCCCGGCCAGGGGGCCACCCACAGGAACCAAGAGCCACACCTCAGGAGACCAAGCAGCACCAGGGAGGATGGAGAGCCAGCCCCGCCCCTGGCAACCTTCCAAGCCTCGAGCCCACCCACAGCCCAGGACTGCACCTGGCGGCTCACCCTTCTTCAGGACCCCTTATCCAAATGGCAGTCGGGGAACGGGATGGGAATAAAGACCCTGACACCCACACCCCCACCCCCAGATCTACTGTTGGTGCATGTTGTTCTATAGAGTAATTAAAAAGGGGAAGAAGAAGAGGCAGAGGCCAGCGTGGTGCCAGTTTCCCCTCCACCACTACTCTAACCCAAAACCCTAAGTGTCTATATGCAAACCTTGGGGGTGGGCACAGGCACAGGAAGCGAGAGTGGTGCCATTGGTATTATGGTGGTAATTGTGCATTTTTTTGATTCAATTCCACTGTATTTTAAATATTTCTTTCATCTAAAGATCTTAAACTTGATCTGAACCCATGTCATTGTCTAATTCTAACATGTTCACATGCTTTATTTGTTGTTGCCTAAATCAAACTCCTTTATCAAAATGACTTGAATGATAAAAAAGCAGTAATAAAGTCAGAGTCAGAACAAACATGTCCGTACTTTTAACATCACCCAGGGGATCTGAGACGAGTGCCTCTGTTCACATTTACCGCTGACCTAATTGTCTGCTTCGTCACAGCAATCTGGGACAAGAGAGGTGGTGAAGATCTGAAATCTTTTTATAAACCTTCAGGGTCACTGAACCTTAGCTTCAAAAACACGCTGACTGTATGTCTTGACCTTTAACTTTGAAAATAAAACTTTAAAGTCTGTTTCTTCTTGCCAAATATAAACCTGTCATCTTCCATCCCGTCCAAGGACAAAAAAAGTAGCTATACTAACAGCAGTACTCTGTGTTCTATAGTTATGGGCGAGTTCATGTCATTTTATTAAATCTTCACTCTATTACTGCTAAGCATTAAAGCTAATTACTGACAGCATGTCCCGAACATCTAAACAGTGGTAATATGAATGTAAAAAGGCTTTAGTGTGCATGAGCTTTTCCCCCCTCACACATCTACGAAGGACATTTCTAAATACTGTGATAAAGTATATCCATTCCCTCCATAAACTAAGGGTCACTGAGAGGTTAAGTGTATCTCAGCATGCATGAAACATTTTTCCTTTCCCCCATTTTTCCCCCAGAGGCTTCAACTTCTTGAATTATTAAAGCGATGCATCTTTCTCTAAGAACTGCTCAATATGGCCACATTTAAAATGAATGAATGTATGGGGGTCAAACATTATGGTGATGTTGAAAGTGAATACAATGAAAAAGTTGCTAATGTCATTTTGTTGGCAAGCCAAGGTCTGTCAGCATTAGCAGCTATGAAAAGTTTACTATTTAAAAAGTGTAAAACATTTTTAAATGTAAAAAATACTGAAGTAGAGTCAGACCGTTGTTAGAATGGTATTTTTTTATATGTTTTACAAMAAAAATACAGCAAGTCCAAACCTATGTTCTCCTGTATTCCCTGGTACCTATTTTATAATTAACCTTTATTTAATCAGATCTCTTTTGCAAGGGAGGCCTGGCATTGAAGGCAACCTATTGTACATGTTTTTGGTCTGTGAGAGAAAACCAGAGTACCTGGAGAAAACCCATGCAAGCACGAGAAGAACACGGAAACATCACACAGATAGATCCCTGGTCCAAGAAATGAACCTTGTACATTCTCAATGTGAGCCATCTGTACTAACCACTGAGCCACTGTGCCATCCAATGACCCTATTCTCTCCTGTACCAAGTTCCCCTATACTTTTGTTCCCCAGTACCCATGTTCTCTAGCACCAATGTTCACCAGGACCCATGTTCTCTAGCACCAATGTTCACCAGGACCCACGTTCTCTAGCACCAATGTTCACCAGGACCCATGTTCTCTAGCACCAATGTTCCCCAGTACCCATGTTCCCCAGGACCCATGTTCCCCAGAACCCATGCTCTCCAGTACCCATGTTCCCCAGGACCCATGTTTCTCAGTACCCATGTTCTCTAGCACCAATGTTCACCAGGACCCATGTTCTCTAGCACCAATGTTCACCAGGACCCACGTTCTCTAGCACCAATGTTCCCCAGTACCCATGTTCTCCAGGACCCATGTTCCCCAGTACCCATGTTCCCCAGTACCCATGTTCCCCAGGACCCATGTTCCCCAGWACCCATGYTCTCCAGTACCCATGTTCMCCAGGACCCATGTTCCCCAGTACCCATGTTCCCCAGAACCCATGTTCCCCAGTRCCCATGCTCCCCAGTACGCCTGCACTAAAATTCAGTGTTTTTTCATTTGTAATAAAATACATTTGAAGGGGAAGTCAAGAATCTTTTATGATTTTAATTACAAAATATGGGCTAATCTGAGGAACAAAGGAATAGTTATACCAGAGGAAACCAGGATCTGGGGAACATAGGTACTTTAAACTTTTGCTGGGAAACATGGTGACCCTTTCAGAGTCACAGTTATCCCTCCCATGTGTTTGTTGTGAGAAAGTAAAAGCAGCACGACTCTCCATCTTTGATAGTGTTCAAATAAAAACAATGTAAATCCAACAACTCAGTCACTCTGACCCAAACTATTTCTGTTGTTCTTACCTCAACCCGTAAAGGACGGTGCCATCGGGATGTAGTCGGACCATACGGTTCTTCACCGTCACACCATGAAGAAAGGACTTCTTGTCATTAAGGAAGTAGGTGTCAGGGAGCCAGAGTTGGTCTGCTACACGGTTGTCCAAAGTCAGGTTTAGGTTCAGCTCACCATAGGCCAAACGCTTGTCTCTCCAGCTCTGCTGGAAATACATTGTGATAGTGTAGTCCTGTGAAGTCAGAGAGAGAAACCAAGACTGAGAGAAAACCCATGGACATCAGTTTACATGGAGGTGAAGGATGCTAACCATTTTACAACATGTGAAATAAAGGTAATAAAAAACATATTTTCTATCACAGTGTATAGAATATATCCAGCTGAAAGACATTAGATAATTGAATTTGTAGTGTTGATATAATGTCATGAAAAAACAAAAARTAATGCAGCTGAATCTGGGAGGACTGAACTGTGCTGAGACTGACTTTGTCACGCTGACTGAACTAAAGAAAGAGCTGAGAGACACGGTGACGTCACTTCTTAGACATCAGCCWTATTGTATTTTTCTCTGCTCAGCCTGCGTTGCTGATTGCCAGCAAATTATCAACAGCTCAACGCTGAGTGTGGATGAGCGTGAACCTCCTGCGAGTTTGGTCTCACTGAAACACTGAGCAGAAAGGCTGCGAGCCTTTTGACAGGCTGCTCTTCCCACGACATGAGGAAAACTGAACAACTCTGAATGCTRCTGAATGTTAGACTGAGGAAATGTGAACTTACCATGTTTACTTCGGAGATGGAATCGATACTGGCTATGTTGATGCTCATCCCTACGACGACTGGACGACCTAAGAACAAAAAGAAAATGTTCATGTGATTTTTTTTTCCCTCTGACCCAAATTAAAAAGATCTGAACTGTGGCTTCTACATAGTCTTTTAATTTTGAGCTGATGTTCTTACACAAAATGCCTCGTGTATCCACTTTAATTTTGATGGATTTTAGAGTAGCTACTGTAACTTCCCCTAAAACCCTTTCAGGTTTAAACACAAAAGCTACTTGGTGTAAAGCATGGTGATGAGAGAAAGCACTCATCCATRCTAATGTCTGCTTTAGTAACTCATGTAAAGGACTAGGAAGAGCAAATCATGCCTCATCTACGCAATTACAATATATGTTGTAAATATGCAAGCGTCTAAGCACAATTACTCTCGTACTACAACAGCCGGCCTACTTCAATATTTAGACAACTTGCTGTTTTACAAGGATGATCCATTCACAGTGCCTGAGAACCAGCAGCTACTGACATCAGGCAAACAAATATGACTATGTATAAATACAGTTCACTCCAAGCCAAATATAAAATAGCCAGCTCAATCTATTATTCCACTTTAATTCAATATCAGGTYGTCTGCTGAAGRCCTGGGCAGAGGCAGAGCTAAAACKTTATGCCAGGTGTGACCAAGRMTTTTTTGGGGTGGGGGCAGATATAAATAATCACTCAATGTAACTCGCATATTATAAATACTTTCAGCAAATTCAGGCATACCAAATATGAGTGAATTCACAATCACTCTGGAGATTTTATTTAACAAAAAGTGTACAACATGTTAAAATATATGCATCTTTACAAAAGGAATATAAAAATAAAGCAATAATAATGTGTCCTTAATTAGCTTAACTGCACATCTTTCAATTCCTCATGCAGTGACTTGTCAGTCAAGTGGGGTACCATCTGGGGTGGCCAATCAGGTTCTAGCTCCACCTCTAGGCTAGGGAGCTTGAGTGTTGTGTGGAGAATCTTAGGTAAGATTCATTCATTTTTTTTTCTCAGACGCTATGTTTTTAAATGTAGTCCTTCTTGTTCTAATTTTAATGTGACTTACTCCTTCAGACTCCTGCGTAAACTGTCTCTAACCACGAAGTGACCCGCATGTTCAGAAAATGTCACGTCACACGCAAAATACTTTGCTGTGAATTCTCAGTTATCCAAGACATGTCAGTACATTATCTGAAATCATGTGGAGTTAAAGGGGCAACATCATGTAAAATCAACTTTTTTGAGTTTTATATCATGTTATAATGTTATACTCTCATAAAAAACATGCCCAAAGCCTTGCTTTGACTCATTCATGCATGTTTGAGAAATCCTGCCGTGTTTTTAGGCAGCCATGCTGAGGAGCAAAACAACAGGTGGGGGCCAGCAACGCCCCTGGGATGTGTCTTTGAGCCGAACTTCCTCATGGCGGACCACCCCCCCTCCCCACGCACCCCGCCCATGACTTCTGCAGGCTCTCGGCAGTAACAGAGCAAAGTGAAAGTAAAACTTAAACTGTCAGCTGCTCTCAACACTACTTCTCTCTTTTCAGATTCAAAACACCTTTGAGGAAATGTATTTTCAGACGCCAAGTAAACTGCATCATAGCGTATGCG